ATCACAAAGCCAGATTTCAGTCATAATCACCAAGGCAAGGTGGATATAGACAACAAGAAACTTCTGAACAACGTCAAACCAGACTAACAGCACAAAAATTAAGAGAAATAACTTACAGAGAGCAAGAAACAGAGGAGCAACATGATGTACGACTTCAGGCTCAAAGAACAAGACAAGCTCAAACACGATCTAATTTCAAATAAAGCTTTGTTTGATTAAATGCTTCTTTTATTTCTCGCATCACAGCTTTTGTCTACTTACTGAATAATTTGCTGAAAAAAATATTGATCTATACATTTCAAATCTAAATTTTCACCATGCAATCCCGGATAACTCAGCTAGTTATATATAAAACATTAAACGTAAATATAATTACTCCAATAAAATAAATAAACACGAAAGGAAACATATTAAGTTAATTTATTACCTTTCCGTGGCTTAAAAATAACGAATACTATCAAATAACAACAAAAAAGTCAAACTCAGACTTTGAAACTCATTACCACAACTTCATGATTTTTTTTTCCTGTGAACTTATAAAATTCAGTGTTGCCAAGATTCACGCAAAAATCAAGCGGCATTGCCGTTCAAAATACGCCCAAAACAAACACCAGTGACTTTTGAAAACTGCTCTTTTCTGGCTTATCTTCAAAATAGCAGCCTAGAAAGTTCACGGTTTTGAGAGTGTTTTATAATTGAGCAGGAATGAGGATAGGGTGATTCTAAAATTCATTGACCCAATCAATCACCGAAACCACTCCAACAATCATTTTACTGTGTGTCGAAGTCATGTCTGCTATTATAGAAAAGTCCGAATAGCGACCTCAGAATAAAACAAGCCTAAACACCGCAACGCGACTCTAAACAAAATTTAACTGACTTAAAAAACAACAACAAAAGAGCCCAATTCTGTTTATAACAAGCAGACTTGGCATCGCTTTTTACAATAGAAGAAACAAAAAAGAACGCTCTATAGCAAATAGATTGCGAGAAAACAAATTCTAGGTATCAGGTGACAGGTATACGAGATTCGACTCATTTAGAAACAAGAAATTCGCAAAAAAAAAAGACATGAAAGAGTTGAGTTTTTCAATTTTTGACATCAAAGTTTTGGTAATTCACTTTTTTAAAACTATCATAGGAAGGAAATAGTTCTATATGATGCATGTATCGTCTGTTGAAACGTTTTTTGTTTTCCTTTCAACGCGTGCGAGAAATTTACTTATTTTCACTATATGAATACAAATTTCAATAACCGGCTAAAAATCGATAATTAGGGCTAAAGTTTCGATTTGTCTAAGTATTTCATCTAAGAGAAATTTTATTAAAAAAATTAAAATCTCAATATTTTAGCTATATTTTTGAAGAAAACTTCTTGGAATACACCACAAATATTTTTTTAATATTTGATGTTGCACATTTTCTACGGCTAATACCCGGAAAAGGAAGGCTGGAAAGGGTTAAGCTGTGGGTGCTTATAAGATTGATGGTAGGGTGGTACTGATTGGCTGCCTTTCCTCTAGCCAGGACCCAGTGTCACAACGGTGAGTCTGAACGCTTTTAATGCTATAATCCGGGTTTCGATGCTCGTGGTGGGCACAGCACAAATAGCTCATCGTGTTTAACTATAAACAAACAAACAAACCCTCTGGTCAATAGTTCAAAATTAGGGTAGGCGGCAGATAGCCTTTGTAGACTTGCCATAAATACAAAATACAGATAGAATAAAATTGTTGATTTAATTTTCTATGAAAAATTCAAAAGAAGCTAGTTTATCTAAAAGTTTGGAATCTCGTAAAATCGTCCCGGTGGGTCAGCGATAAGATTATGAATGTGCAATGCTAGAATTTCGAGGTTCAATTCCTCGCGGTGGACAGAGCATAGATAGCCTAATGTGTAGTTTTGCTCCAGAACAAAGAAAATGTTCGTAAAATAAACAAAAATAATACATTTGAAAACAAGATATCATATTTCATGTTGTAATTCTTACCAACTATTTTATTTTTAAAATAGCGTCCCCTGGTGAGCTGGAGGAATTGCAGTGCTAAAATTCGGAGTTTAACTCCCACGGTGGAGATAGCAAAAATAAGCCACTGTTCATGTTTGCAGTAAAACAAACCAATAAAAAATGAACAATCGTTCATTATCTTACACTTTTATTTACTTTTGACTGCGGTTTTTTTCATGCATGAAACCTTTTGTGGACACATTGAGCGTGTGCGACGAGAAGCATCTGGCGAGATTCTCATGTCAATAATAAGATATTTTTATTGATATACATTTAATTCCTTAATTATCACCCAGAAAGTAAATAGCTTAGATCTGTACAATACGTTTGGCAAAAAGATACGTAAGCAGAGCACTGGATAGATAAAATGTTATATTTTAAAAATTGCATGCTACTTCTCAGGGACAGACATAGGCAAGAATATACATTCGCATTATTCATTGCCTAATATCCTTATAATTTTTTAGAAAAATTTGGGGACTCATTAATGCTCACTATGGAGGTATTTCCCCTTTTAATGTCCACTAGCCCCTTTCCTGATTCTAGTATTCCTTATATTAAAATCAATCATTTCGTCTTAACTTAATACTTAATTACTCAAAAATTAAATTTATTGTTTCTATTATGATTAAATTAAAACGTGTTAAACGCGCAAAGAATTGTGAGTTTTGTTTACTTCGTGAAAACTTGAACTTTCCAGAAGTTTCTTACAGTCCTACTTCGATCATGAGTTTAGATATAAATAAAAATACTGATTTATGTGACCGGAAGGGAAGGGGCGGGGGAGGAGACACGATTATATCAAATACTAACACTTTTCAACCATGATTCAGCAATAACAATACAAAAGCCCCCCCCCCCCCAGTGACGCAGCATCATGTCTGCGGACTTACAACGCTAGAAACCGGGTTTCGATACCCGTGGTGGGCAGAGCACAGATAGCCCATTGTGTAGCTTTGTGCTTAATTTCAAGCAAACAGTACAAAAAAGTTTCATGATCGACTAATATAATTTATGTTTTGTGTTTTAGCTTAGAGTTTCTGTACATTTTCACATTCATATGGTTAATGATTCCGAAGAGGAGTAGAACTATGACGTCAGACTGTATCTCAGAAGTCTGCTTCATACTGATAATAAAGTTGTTTACTTAAATTTTAAATGTAACTTTGTAAAAGGGTTGTGACATGCGCACTTTAACCCTCCAGTATGCATTGGTTTAAGGTTATATCTCTAGTAAACTATTGGTAGAGACGACGAAGCGAAGTGGGTGCGGCACCTCATCTCCCAATATTCTATCGGCAACACAAATAAAACTTTTTCTGTTAATTCTGTCGGCACATTTTTTATCTGTGTTTGAGGAAAGCTCGGGACAAAAATAAATAACTTCTTAATGAAACGAAGTTTTAGAAAAACAACGAAAATGCCGAGAAAAATTCGGCAAATGTGAGGCCGACAGTTCTAATACTTTTAGCACCTTTCCATTTAAGAACATCCGGAAATGCCAATTATTCTTTTATTCAGAGGGCTCTGTTTAACACATCACTTCGGATTCTGTATTCCTTTCAAGCTGATAAGCGTTAGAAAGTTAGGGTTTTATTACAATGAAGCGAATGTATACATGCACGAGATAAAGACAAGGTGTTGCATCAAAAGTATCTTATTATCTAATATTAAAAGTTTTAAACTTTTTGTTTCTCAAATGATGATTTAACTTGTCATCATATCACATTTCATCGTATTTCTTTCCTCGAAATAAAATAACTGTAATTATTTGGTGTTTAAATATCTTGAGATTGGAGTAGCCTGTCATTTACGCAACTATAGGTTATTAATTATAAACCTAACAGTAATTCAAGATCATCGGCTGTTTCCAGTAAAAAAAAATCAAAAAATCATAGTCATGGTCTGGGTGAACAATTCTACAGAACTTATTTTCTTTAATTCTTTATGAAGTCTCGACGTTCAGTGGTTTTCACGAAATAAAATATTTATAGTAAAGTGGCTATACTTGTTTGTTGGGTTTCGCGCAAAACTACTAGAGGGCAGCTACAAAAGGCAGATAGTCAACATTACCTACCCCCAACTAATGGGCTACTCTAAAGTACTCTTTATGAACGAATAGAGCGATTGACTATAATATTGTAACGCCCCCAACGGCTGAAAGGACGAGCACGTTCGGCGACTGGTTGAAGTCAACATATATGTTTGTTTCTCCGGTCTATTCTATTGTGATATTAGAAAGAATATCAACCTAAACGGATACTTGAATAATGTAAAAGTAGTGTTGTTTTGGAACAGATCAATTGTTATTACGAAAAGTCGGATAACTATTAAAATATTAAAAAAAAAAATATGTTTGTGAACTCAACCAGAAGGGTTGATTTTATACATTACATTTTTGATAAAAGATGTTTACCTCCAAGTGTCTGAAAATCTCTATTTAACGTCATAACAACATAAGCGCACTTATCTCGAAGGTTCCATTTTTTTACCAGGCAGTTTTCAAACTGTTTGGGTCAATGTTCAAATAAACAACTCGCTAGTTATTACAATATATCTCAACAAATCGTTTGTTTTTCGATTGCCCTCCTCAAACACCTGTTAACCAGGAGCCTACTTCACGCGGAAATTGGCGTGGTTGTTATTTTTGATTTTTAGTATAAAAGGACCAGCGAAAACCTAACCAGTGAAATTGGAATAAAAGCAAGCCTACTGATCAGGTAAGCAGCTCTGTCCATGTGAAACTTATGTTTCTTAATATTCTGAATTTTTTCACTGTTCTGTTTTTTTAGAATAGTTGTTTACTTACGTTTTTTTTCTACTGAACTTTTAATGTCAACTATGAACTCAAACTTGCCATGGTATAACTAACCATGAACTAACCCAGAACTAACAGAGATTCATCTTTTAGTGTGCAAATTCGTACTTATAATGTCAATTTGTAGGTTTGTGGTGTTCCAAACAAAGCGCAACGTTGTTTCTGAGTGAGTTTTAAAAACAAAATTTTGAGTAATCATTATTTTGTTTCTGGAGCTAATGCTTGATTATTAAAACTCAAGTAGTTATAATTGTAACGTTGTTCTTTCGTTGGGTTGTTTTTTTTTAAAGTTATTTGAGGAATATAAGGCCACTTACATTTCACGTAATGATTACAAATTAGTTTATGTCTTCCTTAACCTTAACGGTAGTATCATTTGTACACTGTTATAATTGTAGGAGTAAGTTCACAAAGAACGCTTTCACTTTCACATCAGAGATTTACTCATTAATGTTACTACGACTGACATTCAAAATAAACTTACTTGTACAATTTCACGACTAACGATCGATTAACTGAATATATGCAATAACTAACAATGATGCAAATACTTCACTGAATGACTGGCACTCTACCAACTGAAAACTGACTCGATGCCTCACTGATTCTTATATTTGTAATATAGCCTTGTTTCTAGATACTTCATATAGTTTCTCGATCTCTAATGTTCACCAACATTCTAGGTATTTTATGGTCTACTTTTATAAGCTTACTTGATATTAACATTATGCGTCCTCTAGCTAACATTTGAATTAAAATATTGAGAATATAATTTCAACACTACACATTGATTCATTTTATCATTGGCTATTGCAAAGGTATTAGGCGTGGCCAAAGCGGTTAGCAAGCCAGGTCAATTCCACTATTCAGTTAAAAGTAGTTATATAGGCGGCGAATGTTGCTTATTAGTTACACTCCCTCTGCTCAAGATACGTTTTATGGTATTTTCCGACTAGTGGATTTCTCTTAGAGTAGTCAGTTAGGGCTCGCTAAGTGAAGATTTGAATGATACCGAATTAAAGAGTGTACAGTGTGCTTCTCCCTCCGATTTCTAACTGAGCTCGTCAGGAAGAAAGAGTCACACCATGAAAGGTATACAAGAATTTATTCGTTGGTAAGAGAGTAGCCGAAGATTTAGCGTTGGATGATGTTGACTAGCTAGCTGCCTTCCATCTAGTGTATCACTGCTAAAATAGGGACGGCTAACGCAGATAGCCCGCGCTTTGTGCGAAGTTCAAACCACAAAAGCTTCGTTATTGTTTTTTTAGGAAATGAACTTCCAAAAACAAAAAGCATCTCAGCATACATATGTATGAGGTGTGTGTGTGTGAATTATATGTACTTTTTTACATAAATTCTGTGTATTTCCTTTTGTTTCAGCAACTTAACAACAAACATGAAGATGAAAATAGCTGTTATTCTAGCATGTTCCATAGCTGTCGCTGTGTCAGCACCCTCTATTAGTAAGTTGCGAAAAAACATCTCAGTGAATTTGACTTGGGAATTTTCAATTAATAATATTCAACTTCGATTATAAAAGAAAATAACAGTGAACACGGTGTAAAATATTATATTTCTTTTTTGTTTTTGTTTGTTTTGGTTCATGGCTTATTATTTAGTAGAGGAAAACAATTAATTTCTATACGATCGACTTCAGGAGTTTAAGAGAAATTAGCTACTTTCCCTAATGCTGTCGAATGTATCTTGTTACCTTCAATAACATTTTGCAGAATATTTCTACATAATTATCTGTGTAAATTATATTTATTATAAACAATGCTTACGTTTATTTATACTTTTAATCAGGGGCGAAATTCTCAAGAAAAAAAAGTAGAGGTACTCTGCTGGGTGAAGTGGACCTGGTTTTGAAAAGGAAACAAATATATATACGTGTAAAAAACGACAAAGCAGCTCAAATGAGTACCGGTACTAGTACCGCCTTAAAAAATAAGTTTCGGAACTCAGTACCGGTGAGTACCGGCAGAATTTCACCCTTGCTTTTAATGATCTTAAAGTTAGTCTACCCAATTTTGAAAATTATGCTGTTTTTATTTTTAGGGCTAATGCTAACCACAGGGAATGCGAATCGATATATTGATGAACTTATCTCGAATTTTCGAAAGAACAAGGATTACGTTTCTAAAATCGACCCTTTCAGAATTCCTTTAGTAATGGAAAATCCGAACCTTAGGGTATACAATATGGTCGTGAGAGGACTTTCAAATTTAAAACGATCTGGTGACGTTACCTTAGAAGTGACCAATAACACTGGAATAATGGAGTTGGATGGAAGTATATCAATCACGGGTATTATATTTTCCGGGAGTTACTGGGCTAAAAAGTGGATTTTCAAGATCAGCGGACAGATATATGGACAGCTCAGCGAAGTAGCTATAAAACTGATCTTAAACGCCGAATTAAGTACAGGACAGATCAGTCTGAAATATCTCAAAGTCAATAGGTTTTCTAATTTTATGATTACAAAAGTCACAGGTTTGACCTTTCTTTTCAACTGGATCTTGAGAATCATAGTAAACTATACGGCGCAAAGAATGAAGGGTAAAATAATTCAAAACATCGAAATTAATTTGAAGAACAATCTCCGCGAAATCTTGAATAAAATCAAGTTTCCCTCGAATTAAACGTAACGTTTTTGTGTGAATTATCAACAAATATCTGTATAGGAAAAACAGTCTGTTTTAGATAATATCGGTAAAATGATAAGTTGGGGTTTGAGTGAAGTTAGAAATGGCTCAATATACAATTGACAGAAATAAGAACTCGGGTTTTCTTGAAAGCTAAGTTTTTGGCTTGGATAGAAAATATGCATATAATTAAAAAAATACATTCACCAGGTGTACATACTTGTGATTTTTTGCAAATGTGTCTGCTGAAGTAAAATGACAAGGCTTGGAAAATTATTTTGTTTATAAAATAACTTAGCTTTTTACAAACTTAATTCAGTAATCAGATGTTTATTCAATAACATGTTTACAATTTGTAAGAAATACATCAACAAACTTTAGTTGGTAAATAAAAATACATGAAATGTTGAATGTGGGTTTTCTTTGTTTATAATTTCAGTGTCAAAATAAAACAGACATAACTGAACTGGATAACACTGTTTTGTTATTTTAACAGTCACTGTTTAAAGTAAAACAAGTACACTGTTACTGTAATTAAGTGGTCGGTCCCTGCAAATAACCGCAATATAATATCTCTGTTTTCTTGATATCTTCTAAAACTAAAGATATTTTGGAGAGTTCCAACGTTTGAATTGCAATCACTTAATTACATCACACCCTGGTGAGCATTCCAAACATTACAAGATATGTGGAAGCCTCATTATTAGAGTATGTGTTTTCCTAAAATATAAATATCTAAACTTGTATAAAATCTCTACTTGTACTAAATCTTTATGTAAAGACGTCACTTGGAAAAGATTATCCCCTTCTATATCACAAATTATAATCAAAAACGTTTTAAAAAATTAAATGGGGCCTTCCC